AACCAGAAAAAAAATCATAATTTGGTTGCCATTTTTACACCACATTTACAAACCAAATACTTTTGAAAATTTAATTAATGGCATGAAATCGTTTGTTATATAAATATTTGATGATTTCATGAGATGATTACCAAGCAAAACAAAACCAAAATCTCTATTTTCATCATCTTCTTCCTTTTCTTTCATTTTTATTTAAATGGATCGTTATCATCTGAAACAAAGTAAAAAGATTACTCGTTATGTATCAAAACGGAGTATCCCTTTCGACGAAAATAGTGATGTATCAAAACGGAGCCGTATCACTATCGACAAAAATATTGGGGCGACGATCTACAAGACAACCAAAGACGAATTCAAGGCGCTGGCTTACAAACTCACTCGCGTTTCTCCGACCACAAATCTTAAGAAGTTGCATCCTACGCCATTGAGCAACCAACCTCCCATGCTAAATTTTTCTCATGTACCGGAAATTCCGATAACCAACGTCGCCTCAACATCTGATATGGTAAATAAATACTCAACCATAGGCTGTTTTAAATTATTGGAGGACCTTGTTCAACTTTTTTATAAACGTAAATTTAATATACTAAATTTTGTATTTGAATCGGGGATCTGTTCGAACGCTTTACTTGCGTATGCCAAAAGACGGTCCTGCCTCAATCGCCATTGATGTCGTCTCCACCGTCTCAAACTGCACTGTCTCCACCATCTCAACCATCACCTTCGTTGCTAAATGATACTCATGTTCCAGCTGTTCCGATAACCAACGTCTTGCATCCTACGCCATCGAGCAGCCAACCTCCCATGCTAAATGACGTTCATGTTCCGCCAGTTCCGATAACCAACGTCGCCTCAACATCTGAATTGGTAAATAAATCCTGAACCAATAACTGTTTTAAATTATTGGAGGGTATTGTTAAATTTTTTTAAAACATAAATTTAATATAAGCATCATAATATTTTTAATAAATATGTTTTAATTAATGTATATAGTTAAAAAAAAAAAAATAACGATCTTTTTTTATTTGAATCGGGGGCTACGTTTTCTGATGGAATGGATGATAAAACGTTTTACTTGCACTAAAAGACGATCCTGCCTCAACCACTGTTGATGTCCTCTCCCCCGCCATTGAGCAGTCATCCTACCATGCTAAATGATGTTCATGTTCCGGCTATTCCGGTAACCTATGTCACCTCAATATCTGAATTGGTAAAGATATCCTCAAATTATTGGAGGATCCTTTTCATTTTTTTTCAATACGTAAAATTAGTATAAGCATCACAAGGTTTTTTAATAAATATGAGCTAATTAATGCATATAGTTAAAACAAAAGTTAACGATTTTTTTTGTATGCTAAAAGATGACCCTGCCTCAACCGCCGTTGATGCCGTCTCCACCGCCTCAATCGTCACCAATGTTGATGTCGTCTCCACCGTCGTCTTCACCATCTCAACCATCACCATCGTTGCTGTCATCTCCACTGCGTCAATCGTCACCTATGTTGATGTCGTCTCCACCATCTCAACCATCACCTTCGCCGCTATCATCTCCACTGCCTCAATCGTTTCTTCTGTTGATGTCGTCTCCACCGTCTCCACCATCACCTTCTTTGCTACCGTCGCCACCGTCTCATTGGTTGTCGTCTATCTCGCTACCGCCACCTCTATCGCCGTCTTTGCCACAGTCACCGCTTTTACAGCCTTCTTCCCAAGGGCAAGACGAATTGACGAAAGATTTGGTGGCTGATAATATGGAATACTCTGAAAACAATATGACTGAGGACAATATGAACCAACAACCGGAGAATATCCCACCACCTATGTCGCCGATCTTACCGTTGGAAAGTCTACAATCAGAAAACGTTTCACCATCCATTCCATCGTCTATACACGATTGGCCTAATTCTATGGATGATCTATGTTCCGAAAATATTTTACAACCAACAACTTTACCGTCCGGGAGTCTAATCGATTGGCCTAACTCTATGGATCATCTACGTTCCGAGAACCTTTTACAACCAGGAACTTTACCGTCAAGTCTACTCGATTGGCTTAACTTTATGGATGATCTACATTCCGAGAACATTTTATCGCCCACTCCAACAACTTTACCGTTCGGGAGTCTACATTGGTCTAATTCTTTGAATGATCTAGGATCAGAGAACATTCTACCATCAGTTTCAACAACATTATCATACATGATGAGTGTACCAGATTCGTCCGATTCTCGTAACGATGTACGACCAGATGACATTCCACCGATAGTTTCGACGCCACCATATGGAAGTTTACAAGACTGGCACAATTCTCAGAATGATCTACGACCGGAGGATACTCAACCACCAGTTTCAACAACTTTACGGTCTGAGAATCTAATTCTTTGAACGAATCACGATCAGAAAACATTCCACCACCAGCTCCAACAACTTCACCGTCTATGGTTCAACAAAACTGGTCTAATTTTCCTACTGATCAACAATTGGAGAACAACATTCCACCACTGGTTGTGACAACTTTACCGTATGACAATCTCTTCTGGCCTAATTCTTCAGATGATGTACTATCTTCGTCTTTGCTATTGTCTCCAACCTTTCAGCGTTCGCCTAACACAGGACTGAGGACAACTATGAACTAAAATGTTCTTTTTCTATTTATCATTGGTGTTTTTATTTTAAAGCTTTTGTAATTTTTGTTTTGTTTCAATTGTAATCCTCATTTCTCTATTTGATGATCATTGCTTCTTATAATAAACTTCTTAATGATCATTGCTTCTTATCATATGCCATTTTAAAAATATACTTTTAAGATTATTGGTTAGATAATCAGTCAATCAGAACTATTATATAATTTTCTCTTTTTAAACCGAGAAAAAAAAAACCATTGCTCAATCTGTTTATTCTCTCTAACTCGCTTGAGAAATGTTGTTTTATTCTCTAAATCACATGAAAAAGGCAAAAAAAACATTCATGATCTGAAAATTGGTGAGATAAATAGAGCAAGGTTCAATTCCAATAACGGAAATCGACGTAAAGGGAAAAATATAAGGAGATAAGAGAGTACTTTAACTTGACAAAAGAGAGATCTCTTTGATTAGACAAATTATTAACGACGAAGATGGTTTCAAACCCTAACACTTTAACTCTATGCAATTCACACCAAGATTCATCATTATTGTTCTTTGGTTGGCTTTGGTGATGTTGCACATAGACAAGAACAACACTAAGTTTCTTGTCATGAAAATGTTGAAAAGAAAGTTAGACAAAATAGAAGCAAAGCTTGATCTTAATGAGTAGTTTTCTATTTAGATATTACTATTAAGCGGGTAACACATGCTCTACAAACATAAGTCTAGTCTAATTTACATTTTCAAAACCATTTTCCCTTTTTTTTTTTTTTCAAAGATTTGATTTTATGATCCTAAGATGGTGATAATTGATGGCAATATATACCAAAGATTAGGTTACCGTTTTAAAGGGAAGAAAATACGCAAGTTGCAAAACCAACACTTGCATAATCTTGCTCCCTTGATTGCATCCAGACCGATGAACTGCAGAAGTTTTGTGCTTCCTTGCAAACTTTGTCAATCTGATTGAAGATGATGGTAGAAGGAGAAGTTGTTCCGGCCTCAAAACATTATCAAACTTGAACATAAAGAAACAATAGACACATAAGTTGAATAAGACAAACATAAATCTGTTCACAACATAAATAAAATTCTATTGTCCATGGTTTTTAATTTTTATGATATCCAAAATGGAAATGATACTTAAAACAAAAACCTTACGCGTTTCTATTGACCCAAGATTTTAAATCAAAGATAAACAAGATCGTATTGAGTTTTCACACACACATTT